CATATAATAAGATTGATCCAATAGTCTAAGATGAACGGTATATCATAGCTCATCATTATTAAAATCCGAATGGATGAATTAATCAAGTAATGTTCCCTTTCAACACAACTAAACAACAAACAAATGCTTGCTCACCAGTGGTGACGCAATCGTAGGGGCATGTAGTTGGTTCAGATAACTCTCACCCCGACGACAGCGTCGAGAAATTATCAAATTATGCATTTGCGCCATACTGGACACATTTTATATTTAATATTTTGTGGTTTGTAGAAATTAGTGTCATCTAAAGTATAGCTTAACTGGCGAGCAAGCATCGTCCCACTCGGCGGGGACGAAATTACCGAGTCCAATCACAGAAAGTTAACCAAAAGATAAAAACAAGAGCTCGGATATCAACAAAAATCACATGCTCCAGACGACGGGGGAAGAGAGGAAAAGAAGTAAGCTGCTGGGCTCAACAAATTTTGATAATTGTAAACAAATTTGTTCTTGTGCCCTATAATAATTTGGTATTGAGGTATGACCCTGTACTGTGCGTGATAGTGAAAATGAAAGTGAATGTGAATCTATAATGCGAACGAAATGAGTTGTGGCCAGACGATTCTTCAATTTCAAAATAATAAAGTCAAAGGACTCTGTTTTAAAATACAAGCTCATTCTTATCAAAGTTTAATTCTGTCCATTCTAATTCTTCGTACCTTGACTGTATCTTGAGTAGCTCACTCTTCAGTGTTACTTTAACTAAGTTCGTTGACTTAGTAAAGCTTATCAAACTGTCAATTTTTCGACAGTCGTTCCACATTTTTGTTGATTGATAAATGAAAGAGGAGGATGGGTTTGGGGTGATGAACTGGTCTGAACGTCTTTGTGATGGTGATCTGTGGAGTAAAGATAGGAGTGAGATTGGAGATTCTAATCTGACAATTTTGAACAGTTCTAATAGACATGTGTATTTGTACAGGTTGTGGACGGTAAGAAGGCCGTTCTTGTTAAACAACGGCTTTGTATGCTCTTTTTCAAAGAATTCCCTTCCTAGGATTTGTTCATCTATACAACGTGTTCTGGCACATGTTCTAAATTTATCTAGATATGCTTCAAGGTCACCAAATAGTATTCTGATACATTTTTTCTGAGTGATGAAGATAGGTTGAAGCATATTATTACTCGACCCACCCCATACCGATATTCCAAATCTTAGGTGTGACTCAAATAACGTGTGGTACAATTCTTTATGGTGTTTTTTCGGGATAACGTGTCGTATTCTACTGAGTCTTCCGATCTCACACCTAAGTTTCGAGTTGAGGGCTCTTATTTGAACATCCCATTTTAGCTTTTCGTCAATAATAACACCTAAAAACTTGGTCTCTTTAACTTGCTTTATTACCGTATTATTCAGAGTTAGTATATATTCTGATTCGTTATCTGCCTCATTATCAGTAGCTGTACGTGACGGATTGAAGTGAATGTAGCAGCATTTCTTTATATTTATATGTAATAGATTGCATTTCATGTACTGGTGTAACAAACGGAGAATTTCGTTTGCTCTTTCATACAGTTTTTTTCTACATTCATCTACTACGAATATGTTTGTGTCATCTGCAAATAGTATGAACTTGCCCAGATCAGTTGTTCTAAATAAGTCGTTAACATATATTATAAATAGCAAGGGTCCGAGACAAGAGCCTTGGGGAACTCCAAAGAGAACAGGCAGCTTGTCAGACTCTTCGCCCAGTACAGAGACATATTGATATCTATTAGAGAGATAACTAGCGATGAGTCTATTGGCGTTTCCACGTATTCCATAGTTGTCTAGTTTATTAAGTAGTTTTTCATGTGAGATCGTGTCAAACGCTTTAGATAGATCAATAAATATTCCAAGTACATGCAGTTTTTTGCTAAGACAGGATTCTATGTAATTCACTGAGGAGTTGAGGGCATGGCTTGCGGAGTGATTTTTTCTAAATCCGTACTGGTTCTCGTAAATCATTTTCTGGGACTGAAAGAAGCTATACAGTCTGTTGTAAATAATTTTTTCAAATATCTTACCAAAAACAGCTAAGGTTGATACTGGCCTATAGTTTTCCAGCAATTCCTCATTATCTTTCTTATAGATCGGACTGATTCTCCCAGTCTTTAAATCATCTGGAATACTCCATTCCTCATGCATTCACTGTATAATAAAGATAGTATAGGACAGATCACTTTAGACGATTCTTTAACTACATGTATTGGGATGTCGGATGACTTCCCATTCTTCAGTTCAGATATAATCATTCTAACCTCGTCAGCTGTACAGTCATTAATGAAAATACTGGACGTGTTTGCTCTAGGCAGGTAGTCATAAAAACTAGGAAGATTGTTAATAGTTAGTTCTCCAATTTCATTATATGCCCCGTTTAAATTAGACGCTAGAGAGACAAAATACTTATTAAATTCATTGGCTATTACTCTACGATTGGTTATCTTCTCATTGTTTATAGTAAACAGTGGTTTTATTTGCCGTTTCTGTTTGCCCCGTATTTGATTAATCAGTTCCCATGTCTTCTTACTATTACCGTTTGTGTCTGCAAATTTTCCCACGAAATACTTAGTTTGAACATCTTTGCGATCTTTTTTAACCATCCTTCTATAATCCTTATAAGTTTTGTAACTAGAACGTTTTTCACAACATTTCAAGCATTGACATGTTCCACCTTTATAATCGGTTTCACCGAGTTTACATTTTTTCTTTCTAACTTTAGCCCAATTGTCATAGAGTTGGTGCTGATGCTTGATTTTGGCTATAAGCCCAGGTGTGATCCATGGGTTATTTTGTGTAGTTCTTTTGGAAGACTTAGGGGTTGCCAACTTACACGTTTTATCGATACTACTTTTGAAAACATCATGAAATACCGTGAAGTTGTCAATTACTTTATTCTCTAATTCATGTTCCAAGTCCTTTACAAAAGAGGTAACATTAGACTTACAGTAGTCGTAATATTGTTTATATTTTAGGTTACTCTTAGTGGATCCCATACTCTTTTCAAATATTTGAAAGACTGGTGAGTGGTGGGATATACGATCAGTAAGTGTGCCTGAGGCTATTATACTCTCTACATCGTTAGTTATAATATTGTCAATACACGATGCTTTACAACCTGGCTTCTCATGAGTTGGCAGAGATATTAGGGGAAAAAATTCTCTACTGAACAGGACTTCCTCATAACGTTTTACAATCGCATTATCCTTATTATGTAGATCAATGTTGAAATCACCTGCCAGGTAACTGCATTTCGGCAAATTATCGAGAATTGCTGAGAGTTCTAATAATGCAACATTTACATCACCACTTGGAGGGCGATACACTACACCAACAGTGACCGGAGTATTCTTGCTGCTTATCGTAACAAATAGAGTTTCTAGGTTTTCAGATATATGGGACAAATTGCCATTTACTGTAGCACTGAGGGTATCACATACATAAAGAGCGACTCCAGTGCCTTTTCTTTTATCTTGCAAAGTGTTTTGGTAGAAACTATTGTATCCAGTCAGTTGGTAAAGGTCACTTAATTCGGGGCCTTCATTTGTTTCTGCTAAAGCAATGATCGAAAATTTCATATATCTCTGTAGTTCTATTGCCAGAGTATCAAAGTTAGATTTATTACCATCGATATTTTGAAATAATAATGATGAGTACTCGTTCATTTGGTTGCAAAATGTTTTATTAAATTCTTTAACACTATATGGGTTACAGTTATTGAGTAATCGGTTGATGTTTACAAGTGTTTCATCAATGTCAGTACTATTATTTTCAGAGTCAGTATCTTCATATATAAACGGATTGTAACGAGTACTTGCTAAGTGTACACAGTTAGGGCAGTAAAAATCTTCATATATTTTGTTTGTACTGGATTTAGTATAGCATTTATGGTGCATAGCACAGTCACACCTACAACATTCAGCAATGAATTATTCCCTTTTTTACCACCTTACCATTCTGATTGATTTTGCACATGACTGACATGTTTTAACTGGAGAAGGGGTTCCCACAGTGGTAGTTTTATAAACCACTTTTAATTTATTGACCTATTATACTTAGTGGTAGTTTTATAGACCACATTTAATTTATTAACTTATCATACTTAGTATTTTTTTTTTGGTGACTGTATCACCCAGTTTTAACATTTGATAATTGTACAGTTTATTGACGACACATTGACTGAATGTTATTTTATATTCTAATTTATATTCTAGATATTTTATTTATTTTACAACAGACGACAACTTCCTGTTTTTTCTTCTATATTAGTTACTCATATCTCTTGTACAGACTTTTTTACAAGGACATTGACAAATGATACTCACATTAGGCATTCATTATTGCATCTAAATTATTTCACTTGCATTAGGCTTAGAAATTTATTCTCTGGTCAACAGATTTCAAATGTTTAATTAATTTGTAGTATGACAGTAAGGTATATAAGAAGTTATTTAATTTTGCTTGGGCTATTATATTGACTAGGTATTGAGGTTTAATGATGATATGGAATTTGAATTCTATATAAATTTACACTATGTGGTTGGGGCATTTTGCATAGTAAATATGGTTACTACTCATATATATCATATTATTTGATTGGTATTCGATTTCTGATTATTTCTCTAGGAATATGATTATTATATCTCAATTTGGCTTTAGGTAGGGTGCCCCGCTAAAAGAACTGGATTCTTCCAGGAAGCATCCCGTGCACAGAGCTTGGTCTACATATATATTAAATTATTAACCATTCATTCTGTATGTGCACGAAAATTTATTTCAATCAATGAATTGGCCAATGGAAATGAATTTTGTACAGACAGGGCATACCTCTTTGGTCAATTTATTCATGGGTACGGTACGTAACCTTCCCCATGTTGAGTCGCAGCAGCAGCAGGAGAGGAACCACCCATCGTCTGGGAGTATAAGCGATTGTCAACTTTATCCGATCTCTTCTTCCTTCTATCAGTCCCTCCATTCATCCTTAAAAGTATTGTATTACGTATAAGAACCCCCAGTTTGGCTGTACCACTCCAATTGAGGTGTAAATAGTCCGGTCTCTGGTTTCGTCCAATGTTCCTAGAGAATTGCTGGCTTAGGAGCCCAGCCTCATCACAGAACATGTCAAAACCAGGTACCAAAGTCACACCAAAGTTGGAATGGAGCAGCTCCTTAAAAATTAATTCATTATAATGTGCAACTTTACGATTTAGCTCAACGAGTTTGGTTGGCAGCAGCGGACACACAAATATATTCGCTTTGGGGTTAAGCGCTTGGATCATTTCTACTTTCTGAACAAATGGTTTAAAAACATTGTTCTTTATATCAGCGGTATTTTTGATCTCAGGTTTCCTGATATCATTTATACCACACATCAAGAGAACATTCCTGTATCCACATGAAACTGTAGGATTTATATCCCCCACTACCGGAGCAAAATACTGTTTTCCGGGGAGCCACTGCCCAAATGATTTTTTGGGGTCCAGCCCGAATTTGAGACCACCAGTATGCGAGTCTCCGATGATGCATGTAGAGTTCCTGTTTCTAAAGCTAACTGAACGAAAAGTTGTATTTGTGTTCATTTGAACAACTTCAGGCCACTTGCTGTAAGAGTCTACTAATAATAGCCACATGCTGCCCAGGAATGGGCACGCAAAGTCAGCGTGTACTCTTTGGAAAGGTGCACTGGTTTTAGCCCAGGGGTGGTCAACGACTTTAGTCATGTTCTTACCATACTTGGCGCATGTCTCACACGTCCGAGCAGTATCCTCGATTTGTGTGTCAAGACGTGGCCAGTAAACGTAAGATCTGGCCAAGGATTTCATACCTGTTACTCCAATGTGAGTGGCGTGCAGAATATCCATTACAGTGCTTCTCAGTTTAGCGGGAATCACGACACGGGCTCCCCAAGTTAAACACCCAAGTTCATGGCTCAACTCGTCTCTTCTAGTCCAGAAAGCTTTGAGATCACCGTCACATTTCAGATTCTTCGGCCAACCATTCAGAGTGTATTCCAAAACTCTGCTCAGAATCGGGTCCTTACGAGTGTCGTTCGCCACTAACTCAGCATTGAGTAAAGTCTCGCTCATAGTCAGTGCGAACATATCACCAAACTCGTCTCTCTCCCTCACAGGGTGTGTTACCGATTTTGGCAGCCTGGATAACATATCAGCGTTAGCATGATCCTTGGTATTACGATATTGAATGTCATACTGGTAATTCATAAGGAATAAAGCCCACCTAGTTAACCTACCGGCAGTCATCTCTGGAATTGGCTTATCGCCAAATATACGAACCAGCGCACGATGATCTGTCACCAAGGTAAACTGTCTCATATACAAGTAAATATGTAGGCGCTTTATGGCCCACACTATGGCCAGGGCCTCTTTGTCCACTTGAGCGTAATTCCTCTCGGCCGGTGACAGGGTCCGGGAGATGAACTCAATGGGACGCTCATCCCCATTCAGCATAATGTGAGACAACACTGCGCCAATGCCACCGATTGAAGCATCAGTGTCCAGTTTAAGAGGAAGCTTGGGATTGTAAAAGGTCAATACACGGTTAGAAGCCAGCAGATTTTTCAATATTTTAAACGCTGTCTTTTCGGTATTTGTCCACACCCACTTTACATTCTTAGCTCTCAGCCTTTCAATTGGAGCAATCACAGACGACAAGTTGGGCAAATAGCGCCTGTAATAATTCACAGCCCCCAAAAAACTAATTAGTTCGTCCACATTCCTAGGTTCTGGAGCCATCAGCATACTCTCGACCTTGCTTTTCACGGGTTTGATCCCTTCAGCAGACACCACATGACCCAGATAGACAACTTCTTTTTGCATGAAAGAAGTTTTTTCGGTTTTACATTTAAAACCTCGCTGCTCCAACCTACTTATGACATTATTGAGGTTGATCAGATGGTCACTCTCATTTCGACCAGAAACTAATATATCGTCAATTCTGCAGCACGTCATAGGCACACCCCACAGAGTGTCATCCATACATGACTGGAATATAGCCGATGCACTGCTGATGCCATACGGCAAGCGATTCCATTGATACAACCCTTTGTGCGTATTCAGGGTGGTCAAGACACGGTCCTCATTTCTTATCAACAGGTTATTATAAGCCTTTTTGATGTCAATCTTAGAGAACGTTTGTCCCCCCTGCACAGCATTCAGACATTCCTCCACGGTAGGTAGAGGGTATTGTCGGGTGCTGATACATTTGTTCAGGGTCGATTTATAATCCCCACAAATGCGCACTGACTGCCCTCCATCCTTCTTCACAGGCACTATGGGTGTCCCCCATGGACTGTCTTCGACTTTGGTTAGAATCTTCGCTTCAACCATATCATTTAACTCACTTTCAACCTTGTTTCTCAAGGCATAGGGTAGACTACGGGCTTTCATCATAATAGGTTTGGAGTTGTCCTTCAGGACCAAACTTGCCTGTACACCCTTAACTAGTCCTAAACCCGATTTAAACACCTCGCTCTGTTTTAACTGAGCGATACTACGACATTGATCAACCCGAGTACAGGTGTTTTCACATTTCCACCTGTTTTTCACGGTCGCACCATCGGTTAGCATGTCACCCTTATCGACACCACTCCCAGAGCAGCTTTCACAGCTCACTGACAACTGCTGGGATTTGTCTGGGGCTAAATTATGTACTAACTTTGTGCTGAGCAGCTTCTCTAGCCAATTCTGTCCACAGAACTTTACAATCCACGGTCTTCCAAACAAACTGGGGAAGTCCTCTGCTACATAGAGCTGCATTCCATGAGCTTTTTCACCGTTCAACTCTACATTAACTACAGCACAGCCGTCAACTGTTTTGATTTGTCCGTTTGCAACCCGTAATGTTTGCCTGCTGGGTGTAAGTGTTAAATTGGCCAAGCCACAAGATAATAATGTACGTTTGCTCACAACAGACACAGCAGACCCTGAATCGAACTCCATAGACAGAAGTTTACCGTTGATTTCTACTTCAACATACGGTTTGCTTAACTCAATCATATTGACATTCGGTAACACATTATCAGAAACTAAACTTGAATCAGACTTATCAGTGGTAATAGTGGAATCGGGGTCACAAACAAGATAACTAAAATCAAAGGCATTAAACACCTTATCCCTCACATACATATTTGAAGATTTCGAATCAGTTAAATGAGTAAGTTTAGAGAAATCAGCACACAGATAAGAACATGTATTAGCATTACCTTTTTCAATCTCAACTGAATTACACTCATTGTCATGATCATACTCGGGGTAAAGCTCATTGTCCAAGACATTTTCACAATTCTCATCCATACCGAACTCATAACTCTCCGAACTCGACTCTCCTTGTTCAATGTTGTGAACAATGCTGTTTTGCTTGCAATTCTTGGAGATGTGTCCAATACGTTTGCAGATATGACACCGGACTTGACAATTTTCACCAATATGTCCACGAAGTCCGCACCGTCTACATTTAAGTCCCTTTTGCATTCCACTTTTCTGCTTTCCACCCGAACCACCTGAACTTTCCCCCTTCTTCCCATAGAGGTTTTTCATTGTTCTTTTGAATGTTGGTTTCACAAAGTTCACTGATCTCGATGACTCTCCCGGTGATAACGTGCTATTCATGAACTGAGCCTCCCTGTTTGCTTGCTCACGGCTTAACGCTTCCTTCACCGCGGTTGCCAGTGTTAAGTCATCCTTCGTTAACAACTCGGAAACAACCTTTTGATTCCTCAGCCCTGCGAGCAGCTGATCCAATATAGCCTCGTTGTAGTTGGCAAACTCACATTCATTTGCGATTGTTCTTAATCTGGAAACATAGGTCGCTGTGGTTTCTTCATCCTCTTCTACACAGCTTCTTAGCTTGTATCTTTGAGCAAACTTTGTTGGTGCAGGGGCCAAGTGATCTAAAATGAGTTTCTTACACTCCTCGTAACTGCAGTCTTCCATCTTTTTTACGGTCAGTGACTTCAACAGCTTGTAAATGTTCTCATCTGTCCTTGCAATAAAGCCTGCTAAATTCTTCTTTATAGCCATGTTTCTAGCCTCACGGTTAGAACCGTCATTAGCTAACTCTGGGACCTCTGCTGCCAGTCCTCCCGCCAATAACTCAAACTCATATCTTTCAAACCAGCTTTTTTGACAGCATGTGACGGTTAGTGGCTCTTTTGTCCTCGTCGCCATTTGTTGTAGCGTGAGCGTAGAAATAAAACAAGCTGTTAACACGTAATCATAGAGGCTAGGGAAGAACAAATCGTTAATAACAAATTATGATAGCAATCAATGTTCAATATATATAACAGTGCCGACCTAAAATTCGAATTTGTACTTTTAACTGTAGGACATATTCAAAATCTTCATTGCATCAAAGTTTTCTCCGGATATACTGCCTCCAGTACCGTGACGGCGACTTGTGTCACTCTCACCGACCTTACTGATTGGTCACTGGTCAAAATTTTAGTAAAAACCGCCAAATTTCGGTCGAGGGGATGGCAGAAAAACTCCTCTTCAAAAATCTTCCAAAATCTCTTTTTATATTCACACTCTATGTACACTCTACAGAACTACTATTTTGGCAGCATGTGCAAGCTGTATGATTAACAGTGGCGTAACGAGCGCCCCCGCTACCCCTGCTAGCAGGGGGGCGGCACCTTAAGGGGGCAGCATTTTCCTGGATTGTAGGTCTGATTTCACGGAAAAAGCGCCTTATTGGTGTACTGCCCTGTCGAATTTAGCGTTTGGTCAATGTGAAAAATATATTTGGGGTACCATTTTTACTTCAGGGGGTGGCAAAAAGCTGTAGGGGGCTCCGGATAGGGGCGGCAAATTTCAATCAGCAGGGGGGCGGCACAAAGGAACGTTACACCACTGATGATTAATGGAAGATTCTTTTTCCTATGATTATTAATTTTAGTTCATAAGTTTTGACAAACTTCTTGACCTACGAGCATACATAAGAGCCAAAAGCTTGTTCATGTTGCCTGACCCCTTTTTTCATTCATTTACTTACTCCAAGAAGCATGTTCCAGAAAGAAGCTGTAAAGAAACTTCCTGGCAACCGCATTAAGTTTGAAACTGTTGAGGATGCAAAGCTAGAGCTTCTTGTGTATCGAAGAAATAGTGATGATGATCCATGGTTTTCTGTCTGCCAAGATGTCCTCAAGATCCTGGAAAATATTTTCGAGAGTCCTCCAGATCTTACCTGTTACGCTGATATGTTCATCAGCTACTCATTTGCAACTGTAAACAAATTATGTGTCTTGGATCTTTTATTAGATGAGTAAGTCCACTGTTGCACTCAATCATTTAACTATTTTTAATTAGAAATATTATATACAACTGTGAAATAGAAGGGTATAGTAGAAGGGTATAGTAGCCCAAAAGTAAGTGTACACTCCCCTTCTGCCTCAGCGTAACTGGGGATTAGTTAATTTTAGACCAGTTATCTATACTTATATCTCAATAAATGAGTGTGTGTGTGTGTGTGCGTGTGTGCGTATGTAATTTATGAACGGCTTCATCAATAAAATGGTAAAAGTTACGGGGCTGGTTTTTTCGGTATATTTCCTTCACAACTCTGATAAAGCCCAACAGCTTCAGTATTTTTAAATCGGCTGGTGGTAAGTTTAATTGATCATTTTGTGACCCAAATGTGATACTTATGTGTCTCACGTACTCTCCCTCTCTCCCACTTTTGCTCTCTCTCCCCCCCCCCCCCCCCCCATAACAGATTTGTGATATAATTAAAGGTAAGTTGGCAGTGGACCTCAAGATTGGCTATCAAGTATTACTATAAGATATATGAGGGGCACTCAGAATTAAATTGCAGTCTGTTCATTCTTTTGCACCGTTTTAACTACGAAAATTTAATGCGTGTTTTCGATTATAATAGACTTTTATGCTTTTGCATTTCAACTGCGATAGTTAAGTCCCGGCCGTAGGAACGGGTCACACTAGTATCATTAATATTGGTAATTTAATTATCATCTTTTCGTGTGTCATTTTATTTCACCTAATTTTGTATTTTATTTTATTTTCGTGTGTTATTTTATGAAACAATATACAATTCAGATCATACATTTTCAGGAATCCGACTCCTGCAATAATTACTGTACAATCTGACGATCAGGATGGTGGTCACATGATGATGGATATTTTTTATAGGGAGGAAAACTTTGATTCCTTTGTTAGGAAATTACTCCCACACATAGACCCGTCCAACTCTTTTCAACTCAAATCAAATGAAAATGGAACAGATGGTGAAGCCGTTGTTTCCAGAGAAGTTTTTGAAAATGAGGTCACTGAAAGGGAGTCTCTTGATGATGAAACCAATCCGGTTGAGCTTGTTGAAGATGAAAATAGCGAGGAGTTATATTCTGATCTTGATGTTGACCGTTATCATGATGCTGAAAGTGGAGAGCCTTTGGATACTTCAGTAAACAGTGATAGAGAATCACATTTTCTTGAAGAAAATGGTTTACATATAAGTTCTATTAGAGGTTTGTATTACTTAAAATTTGTAGGCATATCTTTGAGTTTTCTTCAGTTAATAATCGAACCACCAATTACCAATAGTAATATGAATAAGTGGAACTAATTATTTATTTTGATAGCAATAATTTGGTTTCTTCTATATCATTTGCATACGAATAATGCGTTCAATTTATTTTCAGAAAGTAGTACTAGTCATGATATATCAACAGCTGACACGAACGTTAATGAAAACGAATCTAGTACTGATCAACTGTTCGACTCGATAACAAGCGAGGATCTAAACGAAGCTTTAGAAAAGGAAGACGAATTAGGTCCACTGGAGAAGAGTTCCTCCAATGGTTTTGGTGAGCTGACCACGGAGGAGTTGCTCTCCCTCGAAAACTTCAACCCTATGTCAGAGGCGTGGAATGACAGAGGGAATAAGATCAATAAACAAAGGACCGATCTGACCATGCCTGCTGATAATATAGTATGTTAAGTTTTCTGATAATATAGTATGTTAAAAAACTCTTGTACTTATAAGCCTTTAAATTTAAAATTCTAACAACTTGCATATTCACAAGTATTGAGAACCTAAATACAATAAAGCCTGGATAACTTATATAATTCAAATTATTTTCAGTTGGTGGCAGGAGAAAATGACCCTGGTAAGCAGATTGTCAAACTTGTGGTGTACAATGTACCTGAAAAAGCACAGAGAGTAAGTCTACTTACAATAGTTTGATAGTCGGATGTAAATTGCATCTTTTTTTGTCCATAAAGTTCCCCCTTAGAAAACGTAGCTAATTTGTTATAAGAAACGTTTTATTAAAACGTAAGATATGATAATACTTATCACATCCTATGTATTTACAGATACCGCTGAAGAACTTTTTGAAAAACCAGTGTCTGAGAAGTGAGCCCCCTGTTAAAATTGAGCGAGTTAATATCGACGAGAAAACCCACAAAGCGTACGTTTATTAAACAATAACTGAAAATATACCTTTTCCAAAAACACATGATATTATGTTGTCTGTTGATAGCAAAACAAAAATGAACTTCTTGATATTTCCAAACTGTTGACTCATTGACTAATGACTGTTAAATAATTGTATATTGAAAAGCAGCATATGATTATGTACGTCCACTTTCACCCATTTAGGTTCAAAATAACCGTTCTGTTCAGGTATGTGGAGGTTTCAGGAACGGGTGGAGCTCAAGTATTTATTAAGAATGTGCACAAAAAGAAGTTCTGTATGTGTGAGCTAGATGTTAGAATACAATATGAGAGAGAAGATCCCAATATTATGAAGATGCAGTCTCTCTTGCTGAATAGAGAGAGGGAGAGTGAGAGGGAAAGGCTGAGAGGTTTGGGGTTTAGTGATGTTACGGGTGTTTATTTGATATTTTATTGTGATCGGATAACTCGTATCTATTTCTTGGTAAAATAGACAATATTGTACGTCATTCTGACTGCGAATTGCCAAAATGTATATCACAGTTGATATTTTCTACATTTCAGATTCTCAACGTAAAGGTAAAGGTACGGTTCGAACGACAGCAGAAGTAACGACACATGCATTAACATCTAGTCGACGTGACCAATGTCTTAGAGCAGCAGAGAACAGAAACACAGGGGATGTTGATGTAGGTGGTAACACCTCAGCAAATAGTAGTTCTACTGGTAACATATCACATGTTGCAAGTTCTAATGAAGTTACTGTCAACATTGCAGACAATCCCCCAGAGACAAATACCTCATTAACAAACAACACGGAGGTGTTGTTAACTTCACAGTTTAGTAAAAGAGAGGAGGCTGATGATGGGTTATCTCTCGCTCACACAGAACATTCTAGATCAGACGATATTGCAGACCAGTCTCCACCTGATCTATTCACAGAGGAACATTTAGCAGTTGCTGGCTCACAGCTGACTAATTGTGGTACTGATGCTAGGAACGCTGTTACAACGACTCACAGATCAACTGTAAACTTGACAACACCACAACAGGGAGGAGGGAGGAGGGAGTTCCTCTCAACCAGACCACCTAAAACTCACTCCACAGTCCCTGATGAAGATATAAGAGATGATTCACCCCCCAGCTTTGAAGGATATGTCAGTTCAGCGAGAGATTCAGACTTAACAACAACCCAGTTCAACTCGGTAACACCCATTAAAGGTCCTGTTAAAAGCGCTGTACCACAATCAGCGAGCTCTTCTAACTCCACACAAAGTGAGTCTCAAGAAACCAGCTCTCCTTCAGAACACCGTACCGCTCCCTCAACTACACTGCCTTCTACCACCACTACTGATCCTGAAACTACCTCAGCTGATAATTTCACAACTCATGATTACGTTATTCCTAATCCTAACACTCTTACTGATGACATCACTACGTCTGATGACGTCACTACGTCTGATGACGTCACGAATCTCGCTGTTCACTTAGCAGGACTCGTTATAGAGGAGGAGGAAGAGGAGGAGTGTGCCGAGCAGAGGTCTGTTTGTCAGAAAGAAGTGCGACTAGAGCCTTTACCCAACAGAAATGTAAGTTCTGTTGATTA